CAGTGGACTGTTAGCTTTAATTCCTTAAAAAATATTGGTAGAGAGATACATATTAAAATTTACCACGTTGATATTAAAAATCTTGGAAATAAATAAAAAGATATCTTGACTGGATGAAACTGAAAATAAAATAGCGAATTGGAAGTTAGTACAGAGGAACTCACCTGGTCTATAACACAGAGAGATGAAGAAGGAACTCTTACAAGGAGAGACAAAACTTAATAGACAGCCACTAGGACTTTCAGAAAGAGAATGGAGAAAATGACTGAGAAGTGGTTTCCAAGAGATAAGGGAAGACAATTCTCAGGATTAAGTGAAGACACACACCTTCAGGTTAAAAGTACACAGTTGAGACTTCAAACACACACACACGCACACACACACACACACACACACACACACACACACACACACACGGCCTGCTCCAAATTCTGGTCTCCAAATTCAAGTGAGAGCGAGTTCCAGGAAAGCAGCTGGGGCTGTTACACAGAGAAACCCCCGTCTTGAAAACAAAGCAAGCAAACAAACAACAAAAGAAAACAAAACCCCAAATCAAAACCACCACTATCAACAACAAAAAGCAGTCAGTGGTCTTTAATGTCTCTCAATATAAATGAACTCAATTCCCCAATAAAAAGGCACAGCCTCACAAAATGGGCATGAAAACAGGATCCATCTTTCTCCTGCATATAGGAAAAACAGAGAAACACCTCAACAGTAAAGGTAGACATTATTTCAAAGTAAATGGTAGGAAAAAGATTTACAATCAAATTGACATAATAAGAAAGCTGGTGTCGCTATACTAATATCTAACAAAATAGACTTCAAACCAAAATTAATCAAAGTAGATGGAGAAGGACATTTCATACTCACCAAAAGGAAAATCCACCAAGATGATGTCTCAATTCTGAACACCTATGTCCCCAGCGCAAGGACACTCACATTTGTAAAATAAGCATTACTAGGGGTTGGAGATATATCTCAGTGGTTAAGAGTATTGACTGCTCTTCCAGAGGACCCAGGTTCAAATCCCAGCACCCACATGGCAACTCACAACTGTCTGTAATGCCACTTGCAGGGGATCAGACATTAGTGGCAAAGCACTAATGCACATAAAAAAGAAACATTACTAAAGCTTAAATCACACATCAAACCCCCATGCATTAGTAGTGGAAGACTTCAACATCTTCCTTACTCTTGCCAATGGACAGGTTGTCCAGACAGAAACTAAACAGAGAAATAATAGAAATAACAGACTTTTTGACTCAAATGGACCTAACAGATATTTACAGAACATTTCACCCAAAAACAAAAGAATGTACCTCCTTCTCATCACCTCACAGAACCTCCAAAATTGGCCATATACTTGCTAACAAATGAAGTCTCAATGGATACCGATAACTCCCTGCATCCTACACTATCATGGATCAAAACTGGATTTCAGCAAAAAAGAAAGCCTACAAGCCTACAAGCCCATGGTAACTGAACAACTCTCTACTGAGTTACCACCGGGCCAAGGGAGAAATAAAGAGATTAAAGCTTCCTAGAAATCCATGAAAATGAACGCACAGCACACCCAAATGAGCGTGGTGCTAAGAGGAAAAGTCACAGCACCAAGTTCTTGCAAAAAGGAAGTTAGAGAATTCTGATACCAGAGACTTAAAAGCACACCTGAAAGACCTAGAATAAAAGAAACAAACACACCCAAAATGAAGAGACAGTAGGAAATAATGAAACTCAGGGCTAAAATCAATGAATAGAAACAAAGAGAACAATACAAAGAATCAATGAAACAAAGAGTTGGTTCTTTGAGAAAATAATCAAGACAGACACACCCTAATGCAAACTAAAAGGCAGAGAGAGAGAGAGAGAGAGAGAGAGAGAGAGAGAGAGAGAGAGAACAACAACCAAATAAGCAAACTAAAAAGGGGAGATAACAGACACCTGGAAAATCCAAAGAATCATTAGGTCATACTTCCAAAAACCTGTACTCCACAAAATTGGAAAATCTAAAAGAAATGGACAATTTTCTCAATAGATAGTATTTACCAAAATCAAACCAAGATCAGAAAATCAATTTAAATAGACCCATAACCCTCAATGAAATAGAAGCAGTCATTAAAAGTCTCCCAACTAATAATAATAATAATAATAATGCCCAGGGCTAGATGGTTTTAGCACAAGAATTCTATCAGACATTCAAAAAAAGAGCTAATATCAATAATCCTCAAATTATTCCACAAAAGAAGGAGCATTTCCAAGTTCATTTTATGAGGCCACAGTAACCCTGATCCCCAAACCATGCAAAGACTATTATAGACCAATTTCCCTCATGGATATAGATACAAAAATACTCAATAGTAAGCTGAATCCAAGAACACATCAAAAAGATCATTCACCATAATCAAGTAGGCTTCATCCCAGAGTTGCAGGGATCGGTCAACATACAAAAGTCTGTCAAGGTAATCTACCACAAATAAACTGAAAGAAAAAACCCACATGATCATCTTACCAGATGCTGAAAAAGTCTTTGACAAAATCCAGCATGTCTTCATGATCAAAGTCTTTGAGTTATCAGGGATACAAAGGACATACCTAAACAATAAAGACAATATGCAGCAAGAGGACAGCCAACATCAGATTAAATGGAGGGAAATGTAAAGCAACTCCACTAAAATCAGGAACAGCACAAGAGATATAACACTCTCGCTATATCTATACAATATAGTACTTGAAGTTTTAATTAGAGAAGTAAGACAACAAAAGGAGATTAAGGGGACACAATTTGGAAAGGAAGAAGTCAAAGCACTGCTATTTGCAGATGATATGATACTATACATAAGTGAACCCCAAAATTCTATCAGGGAACTCCTACAATTGATAAACACCTTCAATGAAGTGACTGTATATAAAATGAACTAAAAAAACCCCAACAAACAGTAGCCCTCCTATATACAAATGATAAACAGATTGAGGAAGAAATCAGGAAATCAACACCCTTCACAATAGCCTCAAATAATATAAAATACCTTGGTATAACTAACCAAGCAAGTGAAAGACCTGTATATCAAGAACTTCAAGTCTGTGAGTAGACGAGCCTGGTCTACAGAGTGAGTTCCAGGACAGGCTCCAAAGCTACAGAGAAACCCTGTCTAAAAAAAGAAAAAAACAAACAAACAAAAAAACAAAACAAAAAAAAAAAAAACCAAAAAAGAAAAAAAAAGAGCTTCAGGTCTCTGTCTTAAAAAACCAAAGCAATCTACAGATTCAATGCAATTCCCATGAAAATCTCCACACAATTCTTTATAGACCTTGAAAGAATAATACTCAACTTCATATGGAAAAACAAAAAACCTGGGATAGCTAAAACCAACCTGTACAATAAAAGAACTTCCAGAGGTACTACCATCTCTGATATCAAGCTCTTCTACAGAGCAATGGGGGGCGGGAGGGGACGACGACGACTGCATAGTATCAGCATGAAAACGAACAGGTTGATCAATGAAATTGAATCAAAGATCAAAGGGCTGCTGAAAAGCTGTAGCCACGGTGGAATGCGGTGGGAGACTGATGCAAGCAAACGCTTGCCACCTGCGTAGAGAGGGTTAAGCCGGAAGGGAAAGAGGGACACCCACGGCCTGTGGCTCTGTGGTGGCAGCAGCGGTTGTGACAGGAGGGAGGGAGGAGCAAGAGCCAAGTGGAGAATACAGCCAGAAGTTAACACACTAACAGATGGTTAGTTAGTGTTAACAGATAAAAAAGAGACATATGGTGGGAGAGCAGGCAGAGGCAGAGTGTGTGTGTGTGTGTGTGTGTGTGTGTGTGTGTGTGTGAGAGAGAGAGAGAGAGAGAGAGAGAGAAAGAGAGAGAGAGACAGAGAGACAGAGAGAGACAGAGACAGAGACAGAGAGAGAGACAGAGACAGAGAGCAGGGGCCGGAATGCAGAGCCCAAGAGTCCTGGGTGAATTCGGATAAATTTTGCAATGATTGGGGATTGGATTTAGACTTGGTGCTGCCCACTTCCAATCCTGTGCCAGAACCTGAAGCCTAAAGCAATTTGTCCACTGTGATAGGCTTTTGGGTCGTGTAGGCAGAAGAAGATCCAAAGCCTGAATGTTTTGGCATCCTAGGGATTCAGGGAGGAACAGATTGAGTGGGAACTGGTTGGGGTTGCTCTTGGTGCAGTTGCATCTTTGGCAGAGTACCCCGAAAATCAGAAGAGGTCCTGAACTTCTAAAGGCAGTAACTTGGAACAGGCAACTTACTGGGCCAAAAGCCAGTCCAGCCTAGTGGAGAGAGGGAGTAAGGAGAGGAGTGGTTTCCCCTCAGGGCCGGGACCAGGGGGGGGTAGGGGGGGGGGGGTCAGGTCATCTGTGCCAATGCACTAGATGATAAGAAGTTTTGAAATCCCCAGTTAGTGGGTTTCTCCACCCATGCAATAAGTCAGATCAGTCAGAATTAAAGTACAGACTTAATGAGCAAAGCACCCCTGGGTGATTCTTGGGGAAGGGGGTGGGGAAGCAGAAGAGAATTCATGCTGCAGATCTAGGGGCCAGATCTTAAATCTGTAAGCTCTGGGATCCTGTAGCTCTGGGAGCGGGGGAGGGGGGCGACTCTTGGGAGGCTTTCTAAGAAGGGTGGGGTTTGGAATGGGTGTGAGAGAACAAAGTGGAGATTCCTAACAATATACACATAGAACAGTAAAAATTAAAGAAAAAGAGACCAATACTGGGCTGTGGCGGTGCACACCTTTAATCCCAGCATTCAAGAGGCAGAGGCAGGTGGATCTCTGTGAGTTTGAGGCCAGCCTACCACTGTTCTGCCCTGCCAGGCCCAAGACAGATTCTTTATTCCCTAACCAATAAAGGCAATATACAGGAATTCCCACACTAAGTAGCCACACTAGTTGCCATAGAAACCAGGTGGTGTATGCCTTTAATCCTAGTCATAGAGATGACTATGAAATGGGAGGAGACAGCTCTCAGACATAGTCTCATTATGAGATTCCTGGAGTCAGAATAGCCATTTTCAGACTGAGGTCAAGGTAATAGCCAGTGGCTGGCTGCTTTGCTTTTTGGGTCTTCAGGTTGAACCCCAATATCAATCTCCGAGCTCTTATTAATTGTGTTTCAGACAACAGTCTTGATATAGGGGGCAAGGGGCTTGGTCATGCCTCAACGTGGTATGCCAGATTTTGTTGACTCCTGAGGGAGGAATGGATGAGGTGGGATGGGGGGAGAACAGGGGAGAGAAGGGAAGGGAGGGAGAACTGGGGTTGGTATGTAATATGAAAAAGAATTTTTTAATTAAAAAAAGAAACAGAGTCAAACTTATCATACAGTTTCTCCTGGGAAGAAAGGTGATTGGGAAGGTCACACTGCCTAGGAACGGTAAGTAAAGTAAGTAGCTCTGAGTGTTCAGGGTTCCCAGACAGAAAGTGGCATTGAAATTCAGGACTTAAACAATAGTTATTTGGCTGAACCTTGAGGTTGGGAGTACGTTCAGAAAGTCCATTGCTGAGAAGTTATCTCTACTAAAGTTGTTCTGTGCCTGACCTTAATTCAGCAATAAACACCTGGGAAACTGTCCTTGAGTATTTGTCCTCAGGGGCAACCAGTTTGCTTTGAATCCATTCTGAAGTTTAAAATTGACTGTCTTTGTAACCAAAGACAATATTACTTTCCTATGTCAGTCTGAGTAATGAAAAATATCCTAGTGTTATTTCTATTCATCAAAATTATACAACAAGCAGAAATCATCTTCCTGGCCATCCACAGCTATATGTAACATGGACTGGGGGCCACCAGTTCCCATGATCTGCTCCAGCACAGTTAAAAAGAATACCTTAGGATAGTGGGTTTAGGGAACATTTTTTTAAAATCTGAGAGTAATTAGGAATATGTTTCTGTCTATCTGACAGGTAGATAATGAAACCCACATGTTTTCTAATGGTAATTTCTCTCATACATCATCTTAAATCTTCTCTGAAATCTGTCTCCACATTGCTACATAGTCTTTTACAGCTTCTTAATTAGCGATACATAGTCTCCAATGCTTGCAGCTCTGCCCAGTCTGTTTCTTCTCTGTCCAGTTCTCCTCTCACTGCTCCCCGTCTAGCTCTTCTCTGCTCTTCCCCTACCACCCTCTATCTCTCACTTCTGTCTAGATTTTGCCTCTGCATTCTGCTGCTGCTTCTGCTGCTTGGTTGTTTATTTCTCTGCCCCCTCCAGCCAAAACTCTGGATGGTTATAAGTCATGTAGTTTCTCTCAGGCTAGGAAGGTCACTTAGGCTGGCCAGTGTGTGAGTGCTTGGCCTTGCATGTAATCTAAGTTGGTGAGAGTTCTTAGACAGTAAGTAATCAGTTTGCTGAACCTTAAGCCCGAGACTGGGACTACATGCAAATTATTGTGAAAGTTACCAACTAATAAATAAAGTTGCTTCTATTCTGACCTTGAATCAGTAAAACAACACCTGAAAGAATGACCTTGTGTACATGTCTCTAGGGACAACCAGATGTTGGTCTCTAGAGGCAACTAGCTTGCTTAGAATTTGCTGAGGTCTCGGCTGTGTTTGTGACTGAGAATTTTCCTGTATCAGTATGAGTTATGAAAAATATCCTAGTATTATTTCTGTACATCAAAATTATATAATTAGGCAGAATCATCTTCTAGAGCATCCACAGTTATATGTGTGCCCAATAGATGGAATATTTTCATGAGATAAACACACAAGCAGTGGGAATACACCCAAAGCTGTTATTTTTAGGGGAGGGATGTGGTGGCACATGAGGGAAATTACAGATGGAAAACAACTGGTTTCCACAGCCATTAAACCCCATGAACTTTGCCTAGTGGGGCTCCACCAGTCACCCCACAGACTTTGCCCAATAGGGCTCCCCAAGTGTGTTGACTTGTTAAATACTAGCCACTCTTGTATACTCCCACTACCCTCTACATATATGTGTGCCAGGTAGATGGAATATTCTCATGAGATGAACACACAAGCAGTGGGAAAAATACCCGGAGATATTATTAGGGAAGAAATGCATGCACATGAGAAAAATTACAGACATAGACAAAGTTATTTATAGACAATGGTCCCGTAAGCCTTGTTTCATGAGATTCTCTCCGTCAGATAGTTGTATGTTTGGTGGGTTGAATTTATAGATATCAATTGTCATCTGTTGCATATTCTCAGTGGCCCTGGCAAAGCCTTTGCTATCGGCAGTCCTCAGCAATGATCTCTTGTAGCAAGGGATGCAATTCATTCATTATTTTAAGGGTCATTTCAAATTCTTAATACCAGGAACGATCTCATTTCCAAGTCATTTCATGCCTAAGAAACTGATCTCCCAAGAGATTTGCGGAAGGCAGGCCCTTCCGGGTACACCTTTCATTTGTTTAGGGTTTGTTTTCCACGTTTCAGTCATGGAACAGGCACTGGGCAAAGAGCGGTGCCAATAATTTGACAGAGATAAATGTCGGTGGTTTGAGCCATGTGTCATCTGTATTTTGAGAAGAAATTTGCACGGAGCAGCAGGTTAGAGTTTCTTTTTTATGTCATAATTATGTAGTTATTTTTGGAGAGAGTGTACAGGTTATATTTAGAAATATATATTTACATATACACATAAGTGTGTGTGTGTGTGTGTGTGTGTGTGTGTGTGTGTGTGTATTATATAAATCCACATCCATAAAGGCATTCAATGGCAGTGAAAAGAAAGGCCATTAATTGGATGGAGACTGAGGAAAGATTCATGGAGGAGTTTGGAGGGAGGAAAGGTGAGCAAGAAATGTAATTATACCATAATACTAAAAGTTAAAAGATTCAAAAGAAAAAATATGGAATATAGTATCATTTTATATTTTAACTAATAAAAATGAAATTATTTTAATATGATAATTAATGTTTGTAAAAATTGCTTGTAATGTTTATAGAATGCACCTACATTCCAACCAACTTTGCAAATAAATATCGAATGCTTTTGAAGGACAAAAACAAAGCATCAAGTTGTAAGGTAATGGCAGTATGATAAATTCTTTTATACTTTAAAAATACTTTTATTCATTTTACATACCAGATACAGTTCCCCCTCCCTCACCTTTCCCTGCTTCCCCCCATGTGATCCTGAGCTGGCTTTTCAGAGTCCATTCCATATGGTGGGATGCCTTGCTCAGCCTCGACGCAGGGAGTAGGTACTTGATCCTGCCTCAACTGAATGTGCCAGGCTTGGTTGACTCGCCATGGGAGGCCTTACTCTTTCTGAGAAGTGGATGGGGGTGGGCTGGGGGGAGGATAGAGTTTCAAAATTTCAGAAAGTCCAGGAACATGAGAAATAGAGGTGCATAGTACAATCTCAACTGAGAATCCACATCGTATGTTTCAGTGTCAGGTCCTGTTGGCCCTTTTGTGACTCACCCTCTCTGCTCTTCTCTACCAGTAAGGGCAACAGGCTTTCAGATTTCAAAGCGCTCAAGGCTCAGGTGGTTGGTCACCTGGAATGTTCCTCTAAGGACAACTTAAAACCAACTTCTTTCATTTTCAACTCTCTGGTAATTCCACTGCTGGCCTCATGGTCCTGCCTGAAACAGGGTGTCTACAGTTCACCTCCTTATAAAGACTTTTGTTCTCTGGCTAAGCTTCCTGACTATGTAATAGCAGCTGGGGGGTCCAAATACACTCCGCTGGAACCACGCCTAGAGTGATGCTTGGGACTGGTCACCTGAGTCACTTTGCATTCACCAAAAGTCCAACAGATTCTACTCTGTCATGGTGCTCCTTGCTCTGGGGATCCTGGCATCCTGGACTGTGGAAGGAGATAAAAATGGTGACACATTTCAGTACACCAAAGAAGAGGAACTGACAAACTTTGCCAGTACAAGGCAAAACGTATCTAATTCCTTGCACTTTACTGAAAAGTCTTCCAGATATTATGGGACTATAGGCTGAAGATGGATGCCCCAATATTGCAAAAGAAGTTTGGGTGACTGTCCAGGCCGCGAGATGTCTCTGTCATTTCTAGAAATTTGGAAGTTGCTTACAATGCACTTTCTGTTTACTCAGATATATATCGTCATGGAGTCTTTGATGGCGTTGAAGATAGATATAGTTTTCCTTAGTTATAACAAAAGATAAATTAGATACAAAGCTTTATACTCACAAGGATAAAATAGATGATAGAATATTGTCTTTAATTTTTGTCTAATACAAATAGACTAAATACTGTAACTGTAATTCTTGCTTTATAACTGTTTTGTATATGTAATTTTACCACGTTAAAGTTAAAACCCTCCTTTTCATTTGCACTGAAAAGGGGAGATAATGTGGGATGTCCTTCTGCATATGTGTTGCTTTTATTGGTTGTTGAATAAAGCAGTTTCGGCCAATGGCTTAATAGAGTAAAGCCAGGCAGGAAACCCTAACAGAGATAGAGAGATACCATGTAGCTGTTGACGGAGTAACATGCCACACCAATAAGCCGCAGCCTTGTGACAATACACAGATTAAAAGAAATGTTTTTAAGGTTATAGCTACTCAGTAAGAAGCCTAAGACATTGGCCAAACAATTGTAACTGATAATAAGCCTCACAGTGGTTACTTCATGAGCAGCTTCAGGAACAGATGGGCAAAGAAAAACTGGTCCAGGGACCAGCAGGATGGAGGATACTTCTAGTTACAGGTGAGTTGGAGTTACTTTGGTCCTAACCTGCCTAGAATGCAGCAGGTGAGGGCTCGTGGTTGTTTTCAGTGTGCTCCCTTCTCTAAGGTATTCCAACTTACTCCGGACCTGCTGGAGGAACCCATGTCTTTCCGGGGTCTGAGGTTTCTATGAGGCTTTAAGGCACACGGAAATGCTCTCATGAGTCAGCCATCCAGTGAGCTCAGGACTCACTCTATCTCTGTTCCTGTCCTTTAAACCTTTCTGTTTCTGCCTCTGGCTTTAGTTCAACTGATCTCACATGTTTGTTTTCTTCATATTTATCTATCTTGGTCTCCATTATTCCTCCTCTCCCCTTCTGTCTTTTCTGTGTCCCCTTCTTTCTTAACCCTGAGGTGGAAAAACCTGACTGGGCACCCTGTGCCTTTTGTTTTCAGGCTGTGATTTTCCCTGGTCATATGTCTTTCTTGATCAAGTCTGTCATTTTTGCTTGCTTGTTTTGTTTTGTTTTCTTCACCTAGGGTTAGTGAAATAATTCTCTTGTAAGTTTTGGGCTACTGGAATGAGGATCTATACTCTGGAAAGTGGTCCTTTGTTTAGGAATTATGATAGACACTCCATACTCTCCTAATATCTTGACATTCTCTGTAGATGCTATCAAAATTGGAGCCTGCCCTTCTAGAAAGCCTGCCAAGTGCCGTAGGGAGGAGAAATCAGAGTGTGATTCTGACCGGCAATGCCTGGGGAGTAAAAGGTGCTGCTAAGTTCATTGTGATATCAAATGCATCGACCCTCTTCCCATCTGTAGACCAGGTGAGCCAGCAGAGGAACCTGGAGGAGAGGAATGAAATCAAGACCTAGCACTGAAGGGGACAGGATTGAGGGAAGGGTCTGCCTAGAAATCCTTGTTTCTAAGAGCTGTTGAGGGCAACACATCAGTCAGTCAGTTAAGGCATCATGTGGCCCTTGGCAGGAAGAGCCACTTGTCTGAAGCAGCCGCTCTGTAACGGTTTTGCAAATAATCATCTGGGCGTTTAGACAGTTTGATGGAAGCCATCAAACCTTTCAGTACCACACAGCTGGTCACCTGCATTGACCAGAGGCCAGATGTTCTAGAGAAACCAGGTGCTGTTTCTGGGGACATATCTGGGAGGAGGTGATTGAGGTGAGGGGTGAATGGGGATGACCTTCCTTGCTTGGGCTGGAGAGGGTGGGTTAAAGAAGCAACAATGTGGTGCCTAAATCTTACCACATCTGACCTATGGTTCTTTTGTTGCCAGTGAGGACGAAGCCTGGGAGGTGCCCAAAGGTTCAAGGACGATGTTTGATGCTGAATCCTCCCAATATGTGTGAGAGGGATGGCCAGTGTGAAGGCAACTATAAGTGCTGCCAGGGCATGTGTGGGAAAATCTGCGTTCTCCCACAGTGAAGTACGGAGTGGGCTGGGGTGGACAGAGAGCTTTCCTCTACCCTTTCAGCTCTCCTCAGCCCTTTCAGCTCCAGGCTCTGGAGGTCAAGGCTTTGGGCATGGAGACTCTAACCAAAAGCTGTGTGACTTGTCCTTTAAGGCACTTTGCACTGTTTCTTAGGGCAAAGATATAGGATTGCCTGTGTCTTTGAGCCTCCTGCAGGCTGTCTGGGTAAGAGCCATGGACGAATGACTTTCTGAGTCTCTCTCTCTCTGCAGAATGAAAATTCTGAAGTTAAAAAGGTTTTGCAAGGCACTGTATACATTATTTGTTATCCAATTTGTTTATTTCATGGTGTCTGGGTTCAAAGCAGAAGGGAGAGATATAATTAGAGGATTGCTTAGTTCAATGCTCTTGAGTTTGGAATTTTACAATGCAAATGAGACTCATTCTCCTGAAATCCAAATCCTCTCAACTGCAGCCCCACTTTGCCTTTAATCTCTCTCCACTGACTTCCTCATGGAGGAGCTTATGGAAATGATTTGATTGGTTCCTATGTTGATGGTCTTATCTTATTTTCTCTTTTTAACCTGATTCCTGATGTTTGGAGAAAGCTCTGATCTCGTGCTCTGTGTGCTCTAGAAACTTCTTTGCTCCCAGGTTTCCCAACTTCCAGGCTTGGATCCTGTCAACAGGGTTTTCTTCTGTCATCAGTAACTCCTTTTGGCACATGTTTAGCATTCAGGAGATCTTAAGAAAATACCACTGGAGAGCAAATAAATAAAAGCATTTACTTCTCTAAGCACACCCTGTCTCTGTGATTCACTGAGGGTATGGGTGTGGGAAGAATCAATAAGGGTAGGCTTGGGGATGAGACTTCCTTCTACACTCACGGAGAAGGATGATTATTCCAGGTGTGGGCACTCTTGAATCTACACTATGAATCTAACTGTACTGACGATATGACATTTGGAAAAGTGACTTTACCTCCTAAATATCATGTTTTTAACCTTCAAAGTGTTAACAGAGACCTCTTAAGTACAATGAAAGGGGAACCAGGGGTTGCAACAGGGTACAGAGTGTGCATAATGTGCGGAGTGTGCAGAAGAATGCAGTGTGTATGGAATTGCAGAGGGTGCAAAGGGGTGCAAGGTGTGCGCAGTATGCAGAGGGTGCAGACAGGGGCAAAGTGTGTGTAATATGTATATGATTAAGTAGGTATCAAAACCCAACAGAGTCCCGTTCTGCTGACTTCCTCTCAGGATTCAGTTAGGGTTGCCTCAGAGTAGCAAAGGGGCTTAGGTTGTGGACTGAACTCATATGCTTGCCATTCCAGTGATGGCTCTTTGTTGTTCTGCTTTAATTCTAACGTTCTTGTCCTAGCTGTCTATAGTTTCTTAGCTCTAATTCTCTGCTTCAATTTTATTTCCAATTCCAATTCTCTCTTACACACCTTTAATCCCAGCACTCAGGAGGCAGAGGCAGACAGATCTCTGTGAGTTTGAGGCCAGCCTGGTCTACAAGAGCTAGTTCCAGGACATCTAGAGCTACACAGAGAAACCCTGTCTTGAAGAAACAACAACAAAAATCTCTGTTCCAATCCATTCCTGCTCTAATTATTCTACATTCCTTTTCTCTCCTTCATTTTCCTACATTCTTTATCCTTCTACATTCTTTACTCTTTCAATCTTATTTCTTCCATTGTTATGAATTTCCAAGCATCATACACACACACACACACACACACACACACACACACACACACACACACACATACACACACACACACACACACACACACATTCATTAGCAACTTGTTAGTAATAAAAAAACTACAAGGAAAATTCTCGGGACACAAGCATTCTTTGAAGATAAGTAGCAAAACTTATCAAAAACTTACAAGGGTAGCTAGTTTGTAGCCAACCACAGCTGCAGCTGTGAGGAGGTCCT